GCCGTTCTACCCAAAACAACCAAAACAAACACTAGATAAATAAACGCGACAAAATGCACCACCGTCTCAAGGACTTTATACATAGTTATAGTTAGACTCTATACGAGAGAATGATCATATACACACAATAAACCACGCAGGTACTCACGGTAATCCCCGACCACCGTGTTTGCCGCCATAGACATTTAAAATACCTGAGGTGCACACCTTCGTGCACCCGTGACCCTGACGTCACGTGACCCTTAACCCCTACTCTGTGCACCCTTTACCATGACGTCATGTGGCATACCCGTAACAATCAAGTTTGTTCCAGACACTGTCAATGATAATCAAACGTAGGAGTGACTGGTATGCAACCTGTCGAAACAGGGGTGAAACGCACCAAAGCTTCCCTTAGCCATGGTCATGTGACATGGGCGTTTTGAACCACATTTCGGAGCAGTGTTTCGAAACGTCTGCTCTTCGGAAGCTCGACACAGCGTCGACACGTTAGTATCAAGCGTCCCATCCCTAACGTAACGTCTGTCTGGTACTAGGACTGTGTGATATTATGATATATATCGTGTGATGAAAGAAAAACAGCTATCATTTCATATTATGCTCTATCGTTTATTTTGTTGTCACAAATCACACACTTTACGGCAATTTTTCACCATTTGGACAACGCTTTGCGTTCTTCCACAAGGCACGGATGAAGGCAACACAAACAAACATGGAGAAGAGTGAACGTGACACAGAACTATAGTTGAAAAGTGTTTTCGGTTTACCTTTTTATATTTTATACATTAATATTTTATATTTTGTTACATGCTTAACCCTTTCGAACGTGACTTATTTTATGCTATGGGGCGTGTGTTACCTTACATGGTTCGTTATGTTTTCATTAGCGTTATTATGCTTCTCATAGTTTTCAGTTAGCATTTGCTATATTTTTTAATGTTAAATCGCTGTTTCCTCAAAGCTAAAATTAGCTAGAATTTTTCCAATCTAATGCAATTTAAGCGCACTGGTTTTAGCATACGTACTAAAAGGCTAATCACATTGGTGTGACCGTACGCGTGAAAGGGTTAATTGAAAATTTGCACAAAGGTTCTAAATAAGAGGAGAAAAATAATCAAATATGAGTAAGTAGCCTACCTTTTATTTGTCGAGTATATAATTCAAAATGTAATAAGAAATAGGCCTTTCCATGTGGTCATTTTATATAAACTATTCATTGAATTTACAGAAAATGTGCTATATCGTGATATGTATCGTTATCGGGATATGAGATTTTGGTCATATCGCACAGCCCTAGTACAGCCTATGTTCGGACAATTGATAACCGCGGAGTAATTCTGTGCAGATTAAAAGAAGGTACCGTTGGTTAGCAAGAGAATACGCATGCAAAGACCCTATGTCTCTGTGTGGTATCTTAACTAATGCCGCGCGGTGAATAGTGTGTGACAAAGAAGCTAGGATCAATGAAGCATAGCTAGTTACATTTCTCGTAATGATCTGAAACACACGGATGTACAAACATTCATAAACGTAGCTAACAGTCAGTTGTTTAATTATGCAATGTCCTATGCCCAGAGTTAATAGCCCACTGTAGCTCATGAAATGAGGTCCAAATCTTTCGGTTCCGTGGTTGGTTTCGCGGTTCTGTCGTCGTGGTGCGGCCTTCGGGAACGAGAGAGATATACGTCCGTCTTCTTCAGACGTATGGAGCAAGGGAGCAAGAGTGCAAGAGAGAGATACGTCTGTCTTCTTTGGACGTAGAGAGACAGCAAAGGAATGTTCCCTGTTTTTACTAGCATCGCTGCGGGGGGGCGGGATTTCCTGTTTACTGTAGTGGTCCTTGGTTGGGTGAGAGGTCGTAAAACTGCAACATCACTTCCTGTGAGATCGCGTTTCACATGAAAAGCGATTGATGTATTACTGTCCATAAAAGTTGAACAAATAAAATGAACGAATCTATCTGTGGACAGCACTGTGGCTACATAAGTCAAACAGATGTAGAACAAATCTTGTCAAATAAAGTATCAAAACAGATTTATATATAATATTTATGCTATAGAACAGTGGTATTGTAAATATCAAAGTGACCAACTGATCAGTGCAGTGAGATTATTAATCTTTTTCATGAATGTTAAACAAAGATGCTGTTAGTGGATAGGCAGATGGTTTGCAAAAAAATGTAATGACAAAAGCTAAGCATGTTTCAGTTTGTGTGATCATATATATTAATTAAAAATTCATAACTTTATTATTTTTCACATACTACTGCAGATGTCATACCTTCAGTTGCACACACAATTCACATGCACACACAATATACACAATCAGCCCAGATTTCAGATGTAGATGTAACAAACTTTACATAACTGTATGAATACAAGAAATTAAATGCTGGAATGAATACATAAGCACACAAATGTATATCAGCTACACACACTCCAAGGATATAATAAGTGCAAAAACTATGATAATAACCTAATAAAGCACTCATTTCAAATGAGTTGAGCTGCTTAACCATTCAACAGACAGCTTTGATATTTTCAGAATACTTTACTGTGCTGTCAGAGCAAATTATCTGTAATTTCTCATGAAATCTCCAGAGGTGCTGTGTGAGTCTGATTTCATTTAATTGGAATTAATTACCAAAAGTCAACTGCTGTGATGTTGCACTGTCATATATTTTCAAGCCCATGTTGCAATTCATTGATTCATAGTTTCAGGAGTTCAGTTAGGTTAACATAGACATTAATGCCCAAACCCCTGATGTTTCATTGAAACATGACACAGAAAATCTGTGTCAAGAAAACAATTTCTTGTGATCAGTGATTGTATTGTGATAAATGATCAGTGGTTAATGCCCAGCAGAAAATGACGTTGTACTGTAGGGGCTTTATGGGCTGGGGCTACAATGATACTACTGACAAATTTAGCACACATTAAAACTGCTTTGCACAGTTCATTGACAAGAACCAGATTAGAAACAATCAACAGAGAAGAAAGCCTGCAACTAACAGAGTTAGAAATGGAGAATCTGAGTCAGCTGTTGACAACAACTCAGATCAGATCAGAGAGCAGGAGGATGTGACATGAGGACCCATTGGGATTCCACATGAAATATAGACTGTTACAGAAGATGTATAAACATCGCTATCAGCATTACCTATTGAAAATATTTTGTGGTATGTCATGAAAATTATTCTAAAAAATCAGATCAAGAACCCAAAATCCCACAGACAGTTAGAGAGAAGGAAGGTATGTCATGAGTACCCGTTGAACTTCCATGTGAAATCAAGATGGTTTCAGAAACAGCAGCCTTTCTGCCATTTCTTATATCAACTTGGTGTTCAGTTTTTCAAAGATAACAAAAGTGTCCCAAGATGATTTTCACATTTGATTGTGGGATCGCAGGAGGTAATATTGATTTTGATGTGTTAGTTTTCCATTTAATGTGAAGTAGACCTCCTATTCATCACCATCTGAAAGTGTTCCATTGCAGCTTGCATCACACCAAAATTGAGAAATAGACTGTGCAATTTCTGCAAATGAAGCACAGAGTCAGATGAAGCTTTTTTCAAGCCTGAATTTGGTTGTTCTGAACAAGTACTTTGTTTAATGGGGTGTCTCAGGCGATAATGAAGTGTGACTGAATCATCAAAGTCCAAGTGAAAGTGTACCATCCACAGGCGAGCTTGTACCACCAAAATTTCGGTTAACAGCCAAACATGCTAAACAATTGCACCGTAGACATACGTTATTGTGCAACAATTTGGATTTTTTCTCACGCACGTCAAGCAATATTCCCTGTTAAGTTGGTGGAAATTCTTCTTTGGCTTTTAGAGGTTTCAAAGCATACACAGTCATATGCAAGGGCAAGAAATATTAAAATCTAACAAAGAAAATGACCTTTATAGGTGGCAATATCTCTACAATCTGACATTCTACTACATTGAAAGAAAACATGTTAACCTTCTGCAAATGTTTGCATTTTTTAAACTCACTGACAGACAAGATCACTACTCTGGTGGAATTCCAGCCCACATCCTTTAAACAGTTTCACCACATCATTATCTAGAAGACCAACACGCTATTTGTTGCTTCATGCAATAACACCGCTCTTTTAATGTCATCTGTTGATTAAAAACAATACATGTATATTGACATCCCTGCTCTTTTCTATCAAATTTACAAAATATGGCCTGTCATTTTGCTTCATAATGCCTGAAGAAGTGACCTCGCTATATGAAGAAGAACCTCAACAATGGACAACCAAAAAGATCAGAGCAGACTGTAGATTAGAAGATGGAATCAACCAGTCTGCCCACTCTGGCATGCGAAATACAGATGAGAGAAGGCACTCCACAGCTGACTTGCCACAGAATAGTAAAATCTGGGACGGCTGTCGGCAACAACTTTGTAATCGAGGAGCAGGAGGATGTGACTTGAAGATCCTTTGGCCGGCACTTGCAACAAAGTGTTGCAGAAATGATACAGGCAGTGCTTTCAGTGTCACACGTTGAAAACCATTAAGGAAATGATTCTAAAATATGAGGTCGATACCAAATACACCAAATATCATGCGGTCAGTTAGAGAGATGGTGGCTGTGTCCCTTTAAGTGTGCCTGTAAAATAGAGGTTGAGTCAGAATCAAAAGTGGTACAGCCATTTCTAATGTCCAGTTGGTGTTTAGGTTTTCAATGATAGAAATTGTGCCCCAAGATCATCTTCACATTGGATTGTGAGATCGCTGCAATTTAGTTTGATTTTGATGTGTTAGTTTTCCATTTAATGTGAAGTAGACATCCTGTTGATCACCATCAGATAGTGATTCTTTACAGTGTACGTGACAGCAATATTGAGACAAATCAATGAGGCACAAAGTCCCAAAGAGCTTCTTTTCAAAGGCTTATTTGGTAAACCTGAACAGGTGTATTTCCTAAACGGGAGTCTCAGATGGCAGCAAAGTGTGGTGGAGAGTAATTGGTGTCCAAGTAAAACTGTCACATCCCTGGGTGGGCTCAAACCACCAACCTTTTGGTTAACAGCCAGACGTGCTAACCAATTGCACCACAGAGACATGCTGTTGTGTGTCTCATTTAGATTTTTTCTCACGCAAGTCAAGCAATATTCCCTGTGAAATTAGTGGAAATTCTTCTTTGGCTTTTATTGTTTGACACTTAGATTTTATTAAGCATCAATTAAATGCTTAGCATCTAAGCATTTATTAAGCAGTGGTACAGAACAGCAATATATTTGCAATATAATTGCCACCACATCAACATCCACAGCGTCCATTTTACAAATGTTATATATATGGGTCATAGCAGTCATAGACAACAGGTCTTATACATGACATAATATACAGCAAAAGGAAGGCAAATGGGATTTTAAGATGCGAGGATGACGAGTCAAACCACCAGCCACACCCCTTATTCTAACAAATACGTATTCCATTTTGTCCATCTTGCAATATATAAATCATTTCTCAATCTTAGCAGTAAAGTTAGTATTTCCATTTCATGAATTTCTTTAATAATTTCAAGCCAGTTATGCACTGTAGGTGGGTCGGTCTGTAACCACTTACGAGTGATTGCTTTTTTTGCTGCTGCAGTGAATATTTTCAAAAGGTATCTGTCATTTCCTGTTATTTCTTCTGGCAAATCACCCAAATAAAGTGCTACACATGTCAATGGGATCTGCAGCCCCAGATTTTGCTGTGTGATTTTCCCAATATTTTCCCTAAATATTTGAATCTTTGGACAGGCCCAAAAAATGTGACAGTGATTCGCCTCCACACTCCCACAGCTCCTCCAGCATGCATGGCTTAATGATGTTTGATATGTTTTCAATTTAGGAGTAATGAAACCCGAACAACGTTTTTCCAACAAAATTCATGCCAATAAGTAGAACAAGTAGCACACAGTCTCACACATGTTCTCCCATTGTTGGGAGGTTATTTTATCATGTAATTCTTTTTCCCATCCCTCTTTAATATAATTTGTGGAAGTTCCTCTGCATTTTGCAATTCCTTGGAACAGTTTTGAAATTATTGATTTAGAACCACCAGTGTATGCCTGTATGGTCAATTGTATTATTCCACTAGGTTCCGTCTTTGTCTTTGTATTTCTTTTAAGAAGTATTGGTGCAACTGTAAATATCTGGAAAAAAAAAAAAATCATGCTTTTCCAAGTTGTATTTTTCTCTTAGTATCTGAAAGCTTTGTAATGTGTTCTTTTCAATTATTCTACAGTAAGCAGTGGTTCCTCTAGTCATCCAATACTTAAACCTAGAGTCCAATACAGTTTGGTTTAAATTCTGTATCGTATGCAACCCATCTAAGTTTTTTTAACTGGGTCCACAAGTTTATCTGTTTTATAACATCAAACTAAGTAAACAAGGTAAATGAAACTAAGGGATTCAAGTCTTCCTGACAAATTGCTGCTAACTTGTGATCTCCAGTCATTGCTTGTACTAGGCCATTTGGCCTCATATCCTCTATCACATCAGAGAAATATAGTTTTTATTTGGGCAGAGAGGTAATAATCCCTGAGATTAGGAAGTGACATTCCACCTCTTTCCTTACTGATGGTTAATGTACTATATTTAATCCTTGGTTTCCTCCCTTTCCAAATAAATCGTGAGATTTTTTTTGTCCCATTCGTAAAATTAACTGGTTGGGGTTTTAACTGTTAAGGATATATACAAGTACAGCAGCCTAGGTAAAACAAAGATTTTAATAGTTTCAATTCTTGCACTGAAATTCAATAAAAAATCTTGACCAATGATTAAGATCTTCTTTAATTTTCTTGTTTACGGTATCATAGTTTACGTTAACCAGACCCCTAAATATCTGATTACTTTTTGAGACCAATCAACGGTGAGTTTTTAAGCTCCAGTGATGGGTTGTAATTCAATGTTAATATTTGTTTTTTGTATGTTGAGCTCATAGAATAGAATAGAATAGAATAGAATAATTCTTTGTCATTGTAACGTCTACAACGAGAATTTGAGTGCTAACCTCACAGTGCAAAGGACCAAAAATAAAGAAAAAGCTAATAAATAAACTATACTATAATAAGTAATTTAAAAAGTAAGGCTATATAAAAGTAAAAAAGTAGAACACAAGTAAAAACCACACAGATATGTCTACATTTGCCAGTAAATTGCACAGAAATTCACAAAAATTGCACAGATCCCTTAATACAGAGATAAAACCCTTATTGCACAGTGAAGAGCCATGAACATTTATTGCACAATCCCTTAATTCACAGTGAAAGTGAACATTTGTTCGTGGCACTTAGAGCTTGAACTGCTGTGGGATAAAAACTGTTTTTGAGTCGGTTTGTCCTTGTTCTAATGGCTCTATACCGTCTGCCTGACGGTAGCAGTTCGAACAGAGAGTAACCGGGGTGGGATGTGTCCTTTATGATGTTATGGGCTGTCTTGAGGCAGCGGGAACTGTGCAGTTCCTCTAGGGTGGGGAGAGGGCACCCAATGATTGCCTCAGCAGTCCTGACGACCCTCCGCAGCTCTTTCCTGTGTGCCACAGTGCAGCTGGAAAACCACACACAGACGCAGTAAGTAAGAATGCTCTCTATGGTGGAGCGGTAGAAGGACAAGAGCAGTCTCTGGGCGATGTTCTTCCTTAGGACCCTCAGAAAGTAGAGTCTCTGCTGTGCCTTCTTTACCAGTTCTGTGGTATTCATGCCCCAGGTCAGGTCCTTCTGAATGTAAACTCCCAGAAAACGGAAGTCCGTGACCCTCTCCACACAGTCCCCGCCGATGAGTATGGGCTGAATGTCCGGTTTTTCCCTCCTGAAATCGATGACCAACTCCTTTGTCTTTGACGTGTTCAGGAGCAGGTTGTTGTCTCTGCACCACACTGACAGCCGCTCCACCTCGTCCCGGTAGGCGGACTCATCGCCCCCTGAGATGAGCCCCATCACTGTGGTGTCGTCGGCAAACTTGACAAAGGTGTTGCTGGAGTGGACAGGGGTGCAGTCATATGTGTAGAGGGTATAGAGCAGGGGGCTCTCAGCACACAGCCCTGAGGGGAGCCCGTGCTGAGGCCGAGAGCTGAGGAGATGTGGGGGCCTACTCTAACCCTCTGTGTGCGTCCTGTCAGGAGGTCTTTAATCCAAAGACATGTGGAGTAAGGCAGACCCAGGTCCAACAGTTTACACACCAGTCTGTCGGGGAGAATGGTGTTAAATGCCAAGCTGTAGTCCACAAAGAGGAGCCGAGCGTAGCTCCCCTGCTGTTCCAGGTGGGTCAACGCAGCGTGAAGAGCTGTGGCTACAGCATCCTCCGTGGACCTATTTGCCCTGTATGCAAACTGGTGTGGGTCGAAGGTGGGCCTTCGACCTGAGAATGTACCATATATGTCAAGGAGATCTAAACGAGTGCGGAGAGACACGTCTGGATTAGAAACATATAACAAACATCAGCGTACAACACTATTTTGTGTTCCCTGTTACTAACCACAATTCCCTGAATATTACTGTTTTCTCTTATTGCCAGTTTGATCATCGTCAATCAGTTCACGAATAAAGGAATCTAATCTCCTGGATATAATGGACGTGTACAATTTGTAATCCTGATTTAAAATTGAAATTGGCCAATAAGAGCTTCATAACATTTTATTCTTTCCCTCTTTTGGGATGACAGAGATGATGGCTTCATTCCATGAGGGAGGAGTTGACATTTTCAAGTGTCCAGTTAAAAGATTTTAAGAGCACTGGAATCAAATCTTCTTCAAAAATCTTATACCACTCAGCTGGTAGGCCGTCAGTTCCTGGTGTCTTATTTTTAATTTATTCAATGCTATCTCCAATTCTTTTTTTGTGATCTGTGACATTAGGCATTTATTTTGATATTCTCCAATTGAGGGCAAGTCTAATGAGTTTAAAAACGTTTTTATATTCTCTTTACTGTCTTGTACAACACCCTGTAATATGCTTGGAATGCAGTATCAATGCCGTCTAAATTGTTATATATTTGTCCTGTCCTGGGATCTAATATTTTGTATATCGATTGTGAAATGTTTTTTTTCCATATTTTCTTTGTTAATAATTTGATAGCTTTGGGACCCATTTCATAATACGATTGTCTTAAGAATTTATATTTTTTCTCTAACTCTTCTTTATAAATGTCTGAAATCTGGTTTCTAATTTCTTTGATTTGACTCATTATCTGGTCATTCTGATTCTCACTGTGTTGATTTTCTAATTGTTTTAGATTATTTTCAAACTGATTAAGATGATTTTCTTTTGCTTTCTTAATTGCTGTACTGAGGGATATCAATTTGCCCCTGACAACTGCCTTTAAAGTGTCCCATAGTATATTTGGGTCTACTTCCCCATTATCATTTAGTTCAAGAAGTTTTAATTTCAGCTTTTATTTGCTATATGACTGTTTTGTTATTAAGTAAGCTTATGTTGAGTCTCCAAATTGTTTGCATTTGGACAGTAGAAAAAGTAATGTCAGGTAAATTGATGAGTGGTCTGAGATATCCCTAGTTCCAATATCACAATTCAGAATCCTATGTCTGTCATTCTTAAAGATAAAGAAAAAAATCTATTCTCGAGTACAGCCGAAAAATATGTATAATTTTTGTCTGTTGAATGCAGGTCCCTCCAAACGTCTAGTAAGCCAATTTCATCCAGACCCTTTCTCAGTATTTTATTCTGAGGTGATACAATCCTTTTATTGTTAGATGTATCCCATTCATTACTGTGTTAAAATCTCCTGCACAGATTAAAGTACTTGTGATTCTGAGGCGATGGGTTCAAGAACTTTCTTCAAAAGTTTTTGATCGCTTTGTGGAGGCAGATAAATAGAAGGGTGGTCATTTTATTTTCCATTTTACCTTGCACTAGAACAGTGATCCCCACTAGAACACAATGCATGCAGACAGTTTCAATGCCACGTACCCAGCAAAATCCAAACTCCGCAAACAAAAAATTGCACACATGATAACGGCATACAAGCACTCGGTTTCTACCATCAGTAAATCAGCATCTGGCCAAGAGAGCACAACAGCTGCATCACTGCAAGTTTCATGGACCCTTGCCAAAG